CTGGGTGGTTGCTAGGAGGTTGCTATGCGGTTGGTTATTCTGGGTGGTTGCTAGGATGTTGCTATGCGGTTGGGTATTCTGGTTGGTTGCTAGGATGTTGCTATGCGGTTGGGTATTTTGGGTGGTTGCTAGGATGTTGCTATGCGGTTGGGTATTCTGGTTGGTTGCTAGGATGTTGCTATGCGGTTGGGTATTCTGGGTGGTTGCAAGGATGTTGCTATCCGGTTGGGTATTCTGGATGGTTGCTAGGGTGTTGCTATCCGGTTGGGTATTCTGGATGATTGCTAGGGTGTTGCTATGTGGTTGGGTATTCTGAATGGTTGCTAGGTTATTCTGGGTGATTGCAAGAGTTTTGTTCTGCATTTGCTAGGGTGTTCTGGTGGTTGCTAAGGTGTTGCTATGTGGTTACTAGGGTGGTTCTGGGTAATAATAATAATATAAAATGTATTTACAGTAAATTATGTTTGATTTGATTCAGTGCAAATAAAATGATGCCCTAAAACCAAAGATGACACAAGAAAGACATAATTTATACTCAAAACAGGCGTTTGGTGTTGATCTGTGTGGATCATCCGAGACCAGTTTGGATTGAACAGTGTCCGATAGAGCATTGTGTATTAAGTTATCAGCACTGAGCATTACCTGCCCTACAGAAGAGGCACATGATGGAATAAACAAGAAATAACGGGTTTGATTTGCTTTTGTTTTTCAGAGACGACGTGGGAGAGGCCGTCCAGCACACCTGGAACCCCGAGAACACCTGTCAAACACAAGAACTCTCTACCTGCAGGTATCACACCGATCCGCAATCAAACATTATTAATGATGATAGCCAGAGAATGCTCTCCTCATCACCAGCCAATCAAACGCGTCTCCTGATCTAAGTCAACTGTGCAAAGATCTCAGGACAGTTTCATTCTAGCTGCATACGGACCTTTTTCACCTTAAAACTTTTAGTATTTCCAGGTTTAAGTTAGTCCCACACTGCAAAAAATTCCCTTCTTGAGAACAACAAGCAAGATGCACTTAAATCTAGATGAAGTGCACTAAAATCAAGCAAACAAATCTGCTAATGGGGTAAGCAAAACTGACTAGAAAAGAATTCTTGAAATTAGCATAAATATCTAGTCACTAATAAATGCTATTTGATCTTAAAACTAGACAGAAATGCTTAAAACCGTGCAGTTTTTACTGTCTATAAGAACTGAATAATAAATAAGTTTAGTGAAAATTGCATTAAAACTAGAATATTTTACCTTAAATCTGGTCACTAAAAATAATTATATTTAACCTATTATATAATAATAATGATATTTAACCTTAAATTCAGTTTATTTAATTTGTATTTAATTATTTAAAGATGCACAATAACCTGAAAATAGATTAAAATTCTTAAAACAACCCAATAAATCATAAATTTAGTACACTTTACTTAGATTTAAGTGAATCTAGCTTGTTTCAAGAAGGAATTTTTTCCAGTATAACAAAGAAAAATCATAATTGACCTTTCTTAACTAAGAATTTTAGGGGTGGTATTATTATTAAAATTAGCACAACAATCTAATTGAACATGCACAAAAACGAGCACTTTTTAGCTGTCACCTGTTTCTGGTAAAATCTACATCAAAATGAGCTATAATTCACTCGCCAAGACTGAAGAAGACCAATTTTCTTAAATTAAGATTTATAGTCTAGTGTGCAATGTATTTTATAAGACTTTTTATCTTTCGTGGCAAAAAAACAAGACATATTTTCTAGAAATAAGATTTTTTAAACTGTCCTAGACTTCAGTTTTTGTTAATGCGGTCTCAGAGTTTTGGACCCCATTACAGATCACTGTAGCTCAACGCTTGTCCGAAAGGTTTTCCTCCCCAATCCGTCCACTGATCGCCTAATGGAGCGCTCGGTCCTGAGAGCCAAACTGGTCTGGGTTTAGGACTCCTGATTTGATTTGCACCGGCTATCAGCATTTGACAATGTCTACCAGCACATCTCAATGACAGATGGACAGGATAATAGTGTCCAGCTTGTGGACGGCACGCCATAAAGCAAATGAAATTATGATCCGGCTCAAGAGGAATGAGTGTCATTGCACATGGATCGAGGAAGGAAACAGTAGACATGTTCATCTCAGCACAAGGCGTGTCTCATTACAAGCTCCATCGCTCAGAAAGATCCTACACTCCCTTAAATGAGCCACACAAAAGATTATTTTTAGTGATTCATCAACATATACAAACAGTGTAGCCTGAATCCTAAACGAATGACTCTTATGAGGTGATTCAAAACTTCAGTGATTCAAAACATAAAAACCAGTGTATTCTGATTCCTGAATGAGTTATGCTATTGAGTCAGCCCTTTTTAGTGATTCAAACACATTGAAACTTGTGTTTTTGTCAGTAATATTTAAAAAAATTAATAATTATAATATGCTACCCACACATTGTTTCTCTTTAAATAAGCTGTGTCTGGTTTGACGTCAATGAATGATGTCTTTATATTTGTTCATTTTTGAGAGAATTATTCTCTTAAGGGACTGTTGCCTGAAAGCTGATTTATGAGAAACAAACTGAATTCAATTGAAAAACTGATGTGCTTTGTCTTTGCTTTGTTAAATGACATTGTGTGAGGCTCTCTGAATAAAACTCCTCTCACGTTTTCTTCCTGCAGTGAATGGATTTCATGCTAATGACAGCCCGTTGCATCAGACCGAACACTCACATGCAGTTGTGCGAAAGGCCAGCACAGATCAACAGGTATTTATTCATCCAGCATATTCCCCTGGACTACAAATACAAATTGAAATACCTCAACTAATCTTCATCTATATGACATGCATTAAAACAACATTCAGTGGAGATTCAAGCTGATATTCTATGAAATGCCTAGTTCTGTCATGAACCTCTTGATGGCGCAGACTGATGATCCTTAACGCAAACTGATGATATTTACAGCTTTAACTGCTTGGTATAAGCTGATTGGTTCATGTCGCCTCTGCAGCCAATGAGCTTACTGCTCAACATTTAAATGGCTGGTTACCATTCACTATAGCGGTTTCTCTAAAACCCTCCACCTTCCCCAGCTCCACCTGTACAGATCTGCTACTCCTTGTGCAGCAGCACTATGTCTTACATACTCACAGCAGCGTATTGGTGTATGTATTGGCAGTAGCTAGTTCCTGTACTTGCTCTGCAGCAGCAGCAGCCGCAAAAATCAGCAGCCGCAATAATCAGCAGCAGCAATAATCAAGAGCAGCAGCAATAATCAAGAGCAGCCGCAATAATCAGCAGCAGCAATAATCAAGAGCAGCCGCAATAATCAGCAGCAGCAATAATCAGCAGCAGCAATAATCAAGAGCAGCAGCAATAATCAAGAGCAGCAGCAATAATCAAGAGCAGCCGCAATAATCAGCAGCAGCAATAATCAGCAGCAGCAATAATCAAGAGCAGCAGCAATAATCAAGAGCAGCAGCAATAATCAAGAGCAGCCGCAATAATCAGCAGCAGCAATAATCAAGAGCAGCAGCAATAATCAGCAGCAGCAATAATCAAGAGCAGCAGCAATAATCAAGAGCAGCAGCAATAATCAAGAGCAGCCGCAATAATCAAGAGCAGCCGCAATAATCAGCAGCAGCAATAATCAAGAGTAGCAGCAATAATCAGCAGCAGCAATAATCAGCAGCAGCAATAATCAAGAGCAGCCGCAATAATCAAGAGCAGCCGCAATAATCAGCAGCAGCAATAATCAAGAGCAGCAGCAATAATCAAGAACAGCAGCAATAATCAAGAGCAGCAGCAATAATCAGCAGCAGCAATAATCAGCAGCAGCAATAATCAAGAGCAGCAGCAATAATCAAGAGCAGCCGCAATAATCAGCAGCAGCAATAATCAAGAACAGCAGCAATAATCAAGAGCAGCAGCAATAATCAGCAGCAGCAATAATCAGCAGCAGCAATAATCAAGAGCAGCAGCAATAATCAAGAGCAGCCGCAATAATCAGCAGCAGCAATAATCAAGAGCAGCAGCAATAATCAAGAGCAGCCGCAATAATCAGCAGCAGCAATAATCAAGAGCAGCAGCAATAATCAGCAGCAGCAATAATCAAGAGCAGCCGCAATAATCAGTAGCAGCAGCAGCAGCAATAATCAAGAGCAGCAATAATAATCAATCAGTAGTAGCAGCAGCAATAATCAGCAGCATCAGTAATAATCAAGAGAAGCAGCAGCAGCAATAATCAAGAGCAGCAATAATCAGCAGCAATAATCAAGAGTAGCAGTAGCAGCAGCAATAATAATCAATCAGTAGCAGCAGCAATAATCAGCAGCAATAATCAAGAGCAGCAGTAATCAGCAGCAATAATCAAGAGCAGCAGCAATAATCAAGAGCAGCCGCAATAATCAGCAGCAGCAATAATCAAGAGCAGCAATAATCAGCAGCAGCAATAATCAAGAGCAGCAGCAATAATCAAGAGCAGCAGCAATAATCAAGAGCAGCAGCAATAATCAGCAGCAGCAATAATCAAGAGCAGCAGCAATAATCAGCAGCAGCAATAATCAAGAGCAGCAGCAATAATCAAGAGCAGCCGCAATAATCAGCAGCAGCAATAATCAAGAGCAGAAGCAATAATCAGCAGCAGCAATAATCAAGAGCAGCCGCAATAATCAGCAGCAGCAATAATCAAGAGCAGCAGCAATAATCAGCAGCAGCAATAATCAAGAGCAGCAGCAATAATCAGCAGCAGCAATAATCAAGAGCAGCAGCAATAATCAAGAGCAGCCGCAATAATCAGCAGCAGCAATAATCAAGAGCAGCAGCAATAATCAGCAGCAGCAATAATCAAGAGCAGCAGCAATAATCAAGAACAGCAGCAATAATCAAGAGCAGCAGCAATAATCAGCAGCAGCAATAATCAGCAGCAGCAATAATCAAGAGCAGCAGCAATAATCAAGAGCAGCCGCAATAATCAGCAGCAGCAATAATCAAGAGCAGCAGCAATAATCAAGAGCAGCCGCAATAATCAGCAGCAGCAATAATCAAGAGCAGCAGCAATAATCAGCAGCAGCAATAATCAAGAGCAGCAGCAATAATCAAGAGCAGCAGCAATAATCAAGAGCAGCAGCAATAATCAGCAGCAGCAATAATCAAGAGCAGCAGCAATAATCAGCAGCAGCAATAATCAAGAGCAGCAGCAATAATCAAGAGCAGCCGCAATAATCAGCAGCAGCAATAATCAAGAGCAGAAGCAATAATCAGCAGCAGCAATAATCAAGAGCAGCCGCAATAATCAGCAGCAGCAATAATCAAGAGCAGCAGCAATAATCAGCAGCAGCAATAATCAAGAGCAGCAGCAATAATCAGCAGCAGCAATAATCAAGAGCAGCAGCAATAATCAAGAGCAGCCGCAATAATCAGCAGCAGCAATAATCAAGAGCAGCAGCAATAATCAGCAGCAGCAATAATCAAGAGCAGCAGCAATAATCAAGAACAGCAGCAATAATCAAGAGCAGCCGCAATAATCAGCAGCAGCAATAATCAAGAGCAGCAGCAATAACCAGCAGCAGCAATAATCAGCAGCAGCAATAATCAAGAGCAGCAGCAATAATCAAGAGCAGCCGCAATAATCAGCAGTAGCAATAATAATCAATCAGTAGCATCAGAAATAATCAAGAGTAGCAGCAATAATCATCATCAGCAGCAGCAATAATCAAGAGAAGCAATAATCAGCAGCAGCAATAATCAAGAGAAGCAATAATCAGCAGCAGCAATAATCAAGAGAAGCAATAATCAGCAGCAATAATAATCAAGAGCAGCAATAATCAGTAGCAGCAGCAGCAATAATCAAGAGCAGCAATAATCAGCAGCAATAATCAAGAGCAGCAGCAGCAATAATCAGCAGCAGCAGCAATAATAATCAATCAGTAGCAGAAATAATCAAGAGCAGCAGCAATAATCAGTAGCAGCAATAATCATCAGCAGCAGCAGCAATAATCAAGAGAAGCAATAATCAGCCGCAATAATCAGTAGCAGCAGCAGCAGCAATAATCAAGAGCAGCAATAATAATCAATCAGTAGTAGCAGCAGCAATAATCAGCAGCATCAGTAATAATCAAGAGAAGCAGCAGCAGCAATAATCAAGAGCAGCAATAATCAGCAGCAATAATCAAGAGTAGCAGTAGCAGCAGCAATAATAATCAATCAGTAGCAGCAGCAATAATCAGCAGCAATAATCAAGAGCAGCAGTAATCAGCAGCAATAATCAAGAGCAGCAGTAATCAGCAGCAATAATCAAGAGCAGCAGTAATCAGCAGCAATAATCAAGAGCAATAATCAAGAGCAGCAGTAATCAGCAGCAATAATCAAGAGCAGCAGTAATCAGCAGCAATAATCAAGAGCAATAATCAAGATCAATCAGCAGTAGAAATAATCAAGAGCAGCAGTAATCAGCAGCAATAATCAAGAGCAGCAGTAATCAGCAGCAGTAATCAGCAGCAGTAATCAGCAGCAATAATCAAGAGCAGCAATAATCAGCAGCAATAATCAGCAGCAGTAATCAGCAGCAATAATCAAGAGCAGCAGTAATCAAGAGCAGCAATAATCAGCAGCAATAATCAGCAGCAATAATCAGCAGCAGTAATCAGCAGCAATAATCAAGAGCAGCAGTAATCAGCAGCAATAATCAGCAGCAGTAATCAGCAGCAATAATCAAGAGCAGCAGTAATCAGCAGCAGTAATCAGCAGCAGTAATCAGCAGCAATAATCAGCAGCAATAATCAGCAGCAGTAATCAGCAGCAATAATCAAGAGCAGCAATAATCAGCAGCAGTAATCAGCAGCAATAATCAAGAGCAGCAGTAATCAGCAGCAATAATCAGCAGGAGTAATCAGCAGCAGTAATCAGCAGCAGTAATCAAGAGCAGCAGTAATCAGCAGCAATAATCAGCAGCAATAATCATCAGCAGCAATAATCAAGAGCAGCAGTAATCAGCAGCAATAATCAGCAGCAGTAATCAGCAGCAATAATCAAGAGCAGCAGTAATCAGCAGCAATAATCAGCAGCAGTAATCAGCAGCAATAATCAAGAGCAGCAGTAATCAGCAGCAATAATCAAGAGCAGCAGTAATCAGCAGCAGTAATCAAGAGCAGCAGTGATCAGCAGCAGTAATCAGCAGCAGTAATCAGCAGCAATAATCAAGAGCAGCAGTAATCAGCAGCAGTAATCAGCAGCAGTAATCAAGAGCAGCAGTAATCAGCAGCAGTAATCAGCAGCAATAATCAAGAGCAGCAGTAATCAGCAGCAGTAATCAAGAGCAGCAGTAATCAGCAGCAGTAATCAAGAGCAGCAGTAATCAGCAGCAGTAATCAGCAGCAGTAATCAGCAGCAGTAATCAAGAGCAGCAGTAATCAGCAGCAGTAATCAAGAGCAGCAGTAATCAGCAGCAGTAATCAGCAGCAGTAATCAGCAGCAGCAGCAGTAATCAAGAGCAGCAGTAATCAAGAGCAGCAGTAATCAGCAGCAGTAATCAAGAGCAGCAGTAATCAAGAGCAGCAGTAATCAGCAGCAGTAATCAGCAGCAGTAATCAAGAGCAGCAGTAATCAGCAGCAGTAATCAGCAGCAGTAATCAGCAGCAATAATCAAGAGCAGCAGTAATCAGCAGCAATAATCAAGAGCAGCAGTAATCAGCAGCAGTAATCAAGAGCAGCAGTAATCAGCAGCAGTAATCAGCAGCAGTAATCAAGAGCAGCAGTAATCAGCAGCAATAATCAGCAGCAGTAATCAGCAGCAGTAATCAGCAGCAATAATCAGCAGCAGTAATCAGCAGCAGTAATCAAGAGCAGCAGTAATCAGCAGCAGTAATCAGCAGCAGTAATCAGCAGCAGTAATCAAGAGCAGCAGTAATCAGCAGCAATAATCAGCAGCAGTAATCAGCAGCAGTAATCAGCAGCAGTAATCAAGAGCAGCAGTAATCAGCAGCAGTAATCAAGAGCAGCAGTAATCAGCAGCAATAATCAGCAGCAGTAATCAAGAGCAGCAGTAATCAGCAGCAGTAATCAAGAGCAGCAGTAATCAAGAGCAGCAGTAATCAGCAGCAGTAATCAAGAGCAGCAGTAATCAGCAGCAGTAATCAAGAGCAGCAGTAATCAGCAGCAGTAATCAAGAGCAGCAGTAATCAGCAGCAGTAATCAAGAGCAGCAGTAATCAGCAGCAATAATCAAGAGCAATAATCAAGAGCAATCAGCAGTAGAAATAAGCAAGAGCACCAATAATAAAGAGCAGCAGCAATAATAATCAGCCAACATACCAGATCTATTCCGCCAAGACCAAATACATTAACATTGTCAAATCCATTACCAGGCTAAAAATCTTACAAGAGTTGCCATGATAGAACTAGTTAAAATTAATGCATATTGATTTAGTGATGATTCAACATATGATTAATACTATATTTGCTTGGAGGGCTTATAAAGCAATCTGCCAAACTCTAATCTGATCTGACACACAAGACCTCTAGAACCCTCCAGCTCCCCCAGCTCCACCTGTACTGTGCTGATGGGACGTTTGTGTCTGTAATGGCTGAGGTTGTTCTGGTCCTGTTAAGTGGACAGAATCTGCTGTGATGTCATATGAGGATAGTCTGGCTGTGCAAGTGTTTGGGGGAAACATGTCGCAATGACACGGTTCACCTGCGCATTTCCTAAAGATGCAGCGGACATCAGCTATGAAAGAAGAGAGAACGAAGATACTTTTCTCTCCGCTCTCTCCTCCTCACACACACATCGTGTCTGACGCTCAGTTCTCTCTCTTCTCCCAGAGTCCCGGCTCGCCGTCACCCGTCAGGAAGCAGGAGTGTGAATCCACAGTAACTGTAAGTACGACACAACACAAACGTGCTGAGGACAGATGTGTGTGTGTTCACGCCGACAACTGAACAGCAGTGCTGCCTTGATTCATGTTTTTTTATTGTGTCGTATATCGAGTGAAACGCTTCTGGAACAAGAACAAATGTGGGCGGGGCTTGATTGTGTCTGTGTGGAGTTGATTGGCTGATTGTGGTTTGCTATTGGCTGATCTCATGTGAGTGACAGGTTATAGCCCCGCCCACATCATCAGAGAAGAGAAGCTGCAAGAGGAACTGATTCTGATATGATCTTGTATTGTGCAACACAAACACAGAAACACACACACTGACCTGAGAGCACATCACAGATCGATTCTGAAACATCATCCTGCGAGAGGAAGGCTTTCCAGCGTCCGGCTCGAGTTATTAGAGCAGTTTCTGTTGTAATCGATGTGTTTGTGCACAACAGAAACACCACATGCTCCGCTGCCATGGCAACATGCTCATGATGTCAGAACGAGTGTTTTCTGAGCCGATCCGACGCTTAACTCCATGGACTAACAAATACATTGCGTCATATTTACAGAAGGAAAATCCCAGTGTTCCCAGTAAAGGATTAGTTCACTTCAGAATGAAACTTCTGTCATCGTTTACTCTTCCTCGAGTTGGGCCAAACCTGTATGAGTTTCTTTCCTCTACACAAAAGAAGATATTTTGAAGAATGTCGGTAACAAAACCGGTTTGAAACAACTCGAGGGAAAGAAAAGAGTAAATGATGACAGAAGTGAACTATTCCTTCAAGTTATAACATTTTATTTCTGGATGTTCTCTGAACATTTAAAAAATGTCCAGTTTTCAAATGTTTAAAATGTTTCTTTCTTAACATTATGAGAATGTTTCAGAACATTTAAAAGGAACAAGCTGTAATATATATATATTAAAATGTTAGACGAACGTCCAACTAAAATTTTTTTTGTATAAATAATGTTTTTGTGCTAACTTTTGTGAAAATGATTAAAGACCAGATAACTGAATGAACGCTCTATTAATGTTCATAACTTTGAGAACCGTGACAGAACGCTCCCTATTCACTGGGAAAACGCTTGTAACTTTGATAAACAATGTTTGATGTGAATAATTCTGAAATTAGTTACACTACAAGGCATCATTATTAGTGATCGACTTTGCAGAGAATGACCGAGTTTGTCCATGAGATTCAATACAGTCATAAATGTGTTGAAATGCGGCTCTTGAATGAAGAAACTGTGAGAGATTGATTATTGCAGAATCCGGACAGACTCGTGTTATCCAGACGTGAGTCAGTGTCTTCACAGAGTTATCTTAACTTCAGCTGTAAGACTCAGTAATCCTGTGATTAATGCTGTTGTAGAAACCTAGATTGTTTACTGGCAGCCGTGAGAACAGGGACTCTCAAACGTTCTTCTGTAACGTTAATAGAACGTTTGTTCTGGTCTTTAATAACGTTCTCAAAACATCAGCACAAAAACATTGATTTTTATTTCGGAAAGTTTTAGTTGGATGTTCGTCTGAAAATTTCTAAACCAAATTTTGTTTTCAGTAGTTGAGTTTTAGTTAAAAGTATATAATAACTGGTACAAGCGAAAACATTACTAACGAAACACAAAACCGGCCGTACGTGATCATATTTATTTTCTGAATGCAGAGGTGATTATTCACACACACTTACTGTATTTCTGAGGTGATTTACTGTCCTCAAACAGCGAGTGGAATCATCTCGACCCCGGGGCCAGCGCCTCCTGCATCACTGTCAGCTCTTTATACTTCACACACACACACACACACACACACACACACACACACACACACACACACACACACACACACACACACTCCTCTGTAGACAAAAGAGGATGAAGTGACCCGTGCCGACAGTCAGATGCTCTCACACAGGCTGAAGATGAAGAGAAGATTCCAGCATACCAGACACACACACACACACACACACACACACTCACTCACTCACTCACACACACACACACACACACACACACACACACACACACACACACACACCTACTGTATTTCTGAGGTGATTTGCTGTCTTTAAACAGCGAGTGGAATCATCTTGATCCCGGGGCCAGCGCCTCCTGCATCACTGTCAGCTCTTTATACTTCACACACACACACACACACACACACACACACACACACACACACACACACACACACACACACACACACACACACACACACACACACACACACACACACACACACACACACACACACACACACACACACACACACACACACACACACTCCTCTGTAGACAAAAGAGAATGAAGTGACCCGTGCCGACCGTCAGATGCTCTCACACAGGCTGAAGATGAAGAGAAGATTCCAGCATACCACACACACACACACACACACACGAGGCTTTGACCAGGGTTTACCAGAGACACACACACACACACACACACACACACACACACACACACACACACACACACACACACACACACACACACACTCCTCTGTAGACAAAAGAGGATGAAGTGACCCGTGCCGACAGTCAGATGCTCTCACACAGGCTGAAGATGAAGAGAAGATTCCAGCATACCAGACACACACACACACACACACACACACACTCACTCACTCACTCACACACACACACACACACACACACACACACACACACACACACACCTACTGTATTTCTGAGGTGATTTGCTGTCTTTAAACAGCGAGTGGAATCATCTTGATCCCGGGGCCAGCGCCTCCTGCATCACTGTCAGCTCTTTATACTTCACACACACACACACACACACACACACACACACACACACACACACACACACACACACACACACACACACACACACACACACACACACACACACACACACACACACACACACTCCTCTGTAGACAAAAGAGAATGAAGTGACCCGTGCCGACCGTCAGATGCTCTCACACAGGCTGAAGATGAAGAGAAGATTCCAGCATACCACACACACACACACACACACACGAGGCTTTGACCAGGGTTTACCAGAGACACACACACACACACACACGCGCGCGCGCGCGGCTCTGACCAGGGTTTATTACCACACACACACACACACACACACACACACACACACACAGGAGGCTTTGACCAGGGGTTTACCAGACACACACACACGAAGCTATGACCAGGGTTTACCAGACACACACACACAGGAGGCTTTGACCAGGGGTTTACCAGACACACACACACACACACACACAAAGCTATGACCAGGGTTTACCAGACACACACACACACACACAGGAGGCTTTGACCAGGGGTTTACCAGACACACACACACACACACGAGGCTATGACCAGGGTTTACCAGACACACACACACACGAGGCTATGACCAGGGTTTACCAGAGACACACACACACACACACACACACACACACACACACACACACACACACAGCTTTGTTTTTGTGATATATGAGGACATTCCATAGGCGTAATGACTTTTATACTGGACAAACTGTATATTCTATCCCCCTACACTGCCCCTATCCCTAAACCTGCCCATCACAGGAGACATGCTGCATTTTTACATTTAAAAAAAAACATTGTTTTTTATGTTTTTTAAGCTATTTGAAATATGAGGACTCATGCAATGTCCTCATATATCACGTGTAAGTTGTAATACCAGTGTAATATGCATGTCATTATACACATTTGTGTCCTCATATATCACAAAAACAAACACACACACACGAGGCTTTGACCAGGAGTTAGTTAGTGTGTGAGTGAGTGAGTAGTGGAAGATGGTGTGTTCACTCTCTCACTCAGTGTCTCAGTTATCGTAGTGAGAGGACAGACACGGATGAACTCGAGTTTTCTGTCATTCTATTTAAATAAAGCCTTAAAAAAAGATCTAGTCTAAAATCAATTTCAATTAATTTAGTTATAGATGCGATTGAGAATGAAAAGGGCTTCCGTCACCTGTGCGACACTGGACACACGCATCGGCTAGTGATTATGGTCTGCGATATTGACAGAAAATTATATCTCGATTTTTTGGGGAATTTTGTCGATAACGATAATTAGACGATATATATTCTGCTGACTCTGTTTTTGTACCTTGTCTGGTTTAGGCTGTCGTGGACAACTGAGTCTATTAGATATGAATCATATTATATGTCAAATTTAATAATTAAATTCAATAATAAAACTAAAGGGCTGTCAATCAAATGAAATCAGACTCAGCCAGATCCTGAATTTACACTGCAATAAACTAGCATTAATAACGCTGAGGAACATATCGCACACTCCTACTATACTGTTTTCTGGCATGCAATAAAAAGTAAATAAAGAACTACTTGTAAAGTAGAGTGTGAATGAAGTTCAGTCAGTCTGTTTATGGCTAACGAAAGTCATAATTGGATTAAGTAGCGCTGTCAAATTATTAATCACATCCAAAATACAAGTTTGTGTTTACATAATATACTTTATGTGTGTGTGTTCTGTGTATAATTCTTTTGTATATATAAATGCACACACATGCATGTATATATATAAGAAACATGTGTTATTTATATATAAAATATTTTAAATTATATATAAATATATATATAGTATATACATGCACATTTTTCTAAAATATCTAGATGTATGTGTGCATTTATATATATAAAATAATTATACTCAGTACACACACATATTTTGGATGCGATTAATCGCGATTGCACTAAAGTGAAGTTAAATGTAAAAAAAATGTAATCGACTGCATGCAATAGAATTAAGTAAATGTTCCAGAACTGTTGCTTTGGCTCATTATAATGATCAAAACGGAAGCGGTAAAAATCTGTTGTTTTGAGAAACCGCTTCTTCCACTCGTTTTCTCGTTCTGATAGTAACGTGAATCGTGAGAGCTGAAAGAGGAACTACTTTAAGGCCCTAGGGTCGTCTTCAGGTCCCCAGAAACCTGAGATCCTCATTTAAACACACACACTGCCACCGAGAGAACTTCCTGTCACATAACTGGGAT